TTTTGGCTTTAATGCTATATCAAACTGTATTGAAAATAATTTATTTATAGAAAGTATGTGATTGCAGAACCACTTGTGGCAATCGGGGGAGGTCCTGGACTACTGGAAAAGGGCAAATATAGTGCCCATCTTTAAGAAGGGGAAGAAAGAGAATCCAGGGAACTATAGACCAGTCTGCCTCACCTCGTTCCCTTGAAAAATCATGGAGCAGGTCGTCAAAGAATCCATTCCTAAGCAATCAGAGGACAAGGTGATTAGGAAAAGTCAGCATGGATTCAGCAAGGACAAGTCATGCCTGACCAACCTGATTGCTTTTTATGATGAGATGACTGGCTCAGTGGATGCAGGGAAAGCAGTGGATGTAATATACTTTGACTTTAGCAAGATTTTTTATACCATTTTCAACAGCATTCTTGTAAGCAAGCTAAGGAAGTATGGGTTGGATGAATGGTCTGTAAGGTAGATAGAAAACCGGCTGGATTGTCGGGCTCAACGGGTAGTAATCAATGGCTTAATGTCTAGTCGGCAGCTGGTATCGAATGGAGTGCCCCAGGGGGCGGTCCTGAGGCCGGTTTTCAATATCTTCATTAACGATCTGGAAGATGGGATGGATTGCAACCTCAGCAAGTTGGTGGACAACACCAAACTGGAGAGTGTAGTAGATATGCTGGAGGGTAGGACTAGGATTCAGAGTGACCTAGACAAGCTGGAGGATTGGGCCAAAAGAAATTTAATGAGGTTCAAAAATGACAACTGCAAAGTCTTGCATTTAGGATGAAGCAATCCCATGCACTACTACAGCCTGGGGATTCACTGGCTAAGCAGCAGCTCTGCAAAAAAGGACCTTGGGGTTATAGCGGAGAATAAGCTGAATATAAGCCAATTGTGTGCCCTTGTTGCCAAGAAGGCTAATGGCATACTGGGCTGTATTGGCAGGAACATTGCCAGCAAATCGAGGGAACTCATTATTCCCCTCACTCAGCACTGGTAAGGCCACATCTGGAGTACTATGTTCATTATTGGGCCCCCCACTACAGAAAGGATGTAGACAAATTGGAGAGAGCCCAACAGAGGGCAACAAAGATGGTTCGGGGACTAGGGCAAAGGACAGATGAAGGGAGGCCGAGGGAACTGGGTTTATTTAGTCTGGAGAAGACTGAGGGGGGACTTGATAGCAGCCTTTAATTGCCCGAAGGGTGGTTCCAAAGAGGATGGAGCTAGACTGCTCTCAGTGCTGACAGATGACAGAACAAGGAGCAATGTTCTCAAGTTGCAGCAAGGGAAGTTTAGGTTGGATATTAGGAAAAACCTGTCTCACTAGGAAGGTGGTGAAGCACTAGAAAGGTTACCTAGAGAGGTGGTAGAATCTCCATCCTTGGAACTTTAAGGCCTGGCTCGACAAAGTCCTGGCTGAAAAGATCTAGCTGGGGATGGTCCTGCTTAAGCAGGGGGTTGCACTGGATGACCTCCTAAGGTCCCTTCCAACCATAATTTTCTATGATTCTATGAAAAATATGCTAAAGAACAACAATAAAAATACTCTATTTAAAAATTTTTAAAACTGTATGCATTAAAAAAAAAATATCACGGATTATGATCAACCCTAATCACAAATATGAAGATCTTGATAAAGACCTGGGACATCAGGCTGTGAAAACAAGAGTTTTAAGAACCTCCTGAGGTACCAGCCAATCAGCCTTTATAGGCACCTGCCAGGTCCATAGAAGAAAATGCTTCTTAGGGGACTGAAGATATTCAGGATTTAATTTTTATCAGGGAGCTGAATATTTCTGCATTCAGCCTTCTGAGGGTCAGGGTTTGCTTTAATCCCCTGAGTTTGAGGTGATGATAAGAAACATAGTATAACTGTGGGAACTCCCAGAACTAGTTTTTCAAGTTTATACATTACACACTAAAAGTGATTCAATTGCCTTATTTCTATATCCACCCACTTACTACAAACATATCTAAATGTGTGTAATTTACATAATGAGGAGCAGGAATAAGGTGCATTTTACAGCTTCTTAAGACCTTTCTTGCTTCACACATCTCTTTTGTCTTCCTGCATGGAAGCTACCAGATCTTAGACTCTACCTGTGCCCAAGTTCAATGGTAATGTAAAAGGGAAGGCAACTACCATTGTAAATACATACAAATGTAAAGTTGCGATCCCGAAATAAAATCCACATCAGCACAGCAGACACTTATGTCCACGGAGAATCCCAGTGAAGTCAGTGGGGCTCACTGGAGAAGCTCAAGGGTCCACTAGTATAAATCTGCTCTCAGGACTAGGATATATGCAAGTCAGAGAACATAAAAGTGGCATAAGACATGCAAGTAAATTACACCACTGGAGATTCTATTTGTGAACCCCTCAGAGCATGGACTCATAGGCAGAATATTCTTTACCAAGTTCTTTGGTAGTGGAGATTGGTGGAAATACCATGGGGAAAGATGCCTTGCAACCATGTATGAATCAGCATAAAATGGAGAGGAAACTCACCAACAGGTAGTGGGCCAGGGCCTATCTGATGGCTTGAAATTAATCCATCCTGTTTTTAGGCTAGTCTACTTCTTTTGAAAGTGACTGAAAGTGGGCCCTCTTACTCAAATTTTTGTGCATTCACATAATTACTTCTTCCTTTAATAACTAAACTAAGGTGTGGATACTATGCCTTCTTATGCATCATCCAAGAGAGTTGCTTACTGAGTTCCAGTCAATCACATCAGTGCTGTCCCCTGAAGGAAATGATAAAACACGGAGGTCAGCAAGGGCCTAATTTGAGAACTGTACAGATAAAGAGGTTTAAGAGGATAACTTGGCACCCAGAAACATTTATTACTGTTGCTAATGCATAAGCAGGAAAGAACCCAGCTTGACTTGTCTGCAGGACTGGCAATTAGAAACACATCTTTTTATTTGTAAATTGAGCACACCCAATACAGAGAACACTGAGAAACCACAAACCATTCTGAGGGGCAAAACAACTCTATGATCACGGGCATATTAATTCTGTTACACAAGGTTTAGTACAATGGGATGTCTAGGTACTACTGTAAAACAAAACAAATAAAAATGGTACAGGATTCTTATTTCAACATCCTGCTGGTTTGCAGTAACAGTGCCAGCGAGCAGAGGGGAGTAGACAGCTGCAGCAAATATTCCAGCTTTTCAAGTAATCTCCATCAACTACTTACAGCAATGACACATTTTAAGACCTTTTCATACAGGAGCAAATGTTACAGGAGTTAAATCAATTTTCAAAATGGTTCACAAGCTTCTCAAAGAGACTCACAGCTCAAACAAAGCTTTCAAACAGGTTTGTATATAACATGGTTTAATGCTCTAACTCCTTGTCCATGTTGGACTTTTTCTCCTTAAAATTTCTTCCATCACAGGTGGAATCAACAGTGAAAAGTGCACAGACAAGCCGCTAGTAACCAACACCTTTTTTAAACATTCATCATCTAAATTTACTATGAACAGGGTTAGACAACACAAAGGTTAAAACCTCAGTAGCACCAAAGCACTACCATACATCAGCAGTAATGGAAAAATTGAAAGAATGAAGTCTGGGATAAACAAGTCCAAACTCAATATTCTCTCCTTAAGCAGCAAGAGTAGGAAGGCAATGTCCATCTCTAACTATTTCCTCACGGGCATGTGCTTTTACTACTTTCCTCTTTTCTTAAATACTAGAAGAACAGTTGGGTACACTAGGGTCTCATATTAGGACACAGAATGATCCGACACACTGCAGACATAAAGCAGAACATTTAACTTTGCTAGGTCCTTTCTATAAGTTTAAAATCTTTTAATATTATTTAAAGAGGTAAGAAGACCATGTGCTATGTGCTTCAATAGAATCCTTAAGTCTCCACTCCACACCACAAAGGAGCTGACAACTGGGGACAGCTTCAGAGACTATGAACCCAACTATCAGTTAACAAGTTTTTTTTAATTCTTTTCAAATTTTTGTAAGTAATTTACAAACAACAAAAATAGGGGTTTGTAACAGTATTGTAATGAAACCAGTGAATATCATTACTGGAAAGAAATAGTCAAATCTCTCTACTACTATTATTGCTAAAAAGTTAGTTGTCAAATGTTAGCGCACAATTCACTTTTTTATTCTGGACGTAAGAACAAAAAAGTCAAACAGCACAACTGATAAAAACCAGATATTTGGGTCTTATCATGTAGTCTTAATTCATGAGAGTAATCCCATGGAAGTCATTAATCACAGTTTGTTAAGAGGCTCTCTAAACACTAGATAAACCATTGCTAGAAGCTCCAGAGCCAGATCTCTTTCATCTGTAATTTCTGATCCCTGCCCCCCCAGTCTCTCTGCCTGTAATGGAACAATCACCTCCAACGGTACACTTTCTTGATGTAGTTTAGTTTCTTGATGCAGTGTAGTGTTTTAAACATCCCAGACTACACATCTCCAAGGTTTCCTTTGTTCTACAGTCAGGAAGTTTCCCTCAATAGTCAGCCTAAAATTTGCCTCCCTGTCTCCTGGAGTACGCGCCAGACCACTGAGCTCCAACGAAGTCCAAGCAGCAACATGTGAGCAGAATCGCCTGCTGGGTAGCCAAGTGTGCAGGGTCATTACTCCCCTTCTTTTGCATCCCTCAGATATTCATAAGCCACGTCTACCTCACTAACCACATGTTGCGTATTTCACGTAATTTTTCTCAAGTCGTCAAAAGCTCCATAAAAAAAAATTTAAAAAAATCCATTAGTATTTTTCTTCTTCCTGAACTCCTGCCACAGGTTTGGTAACACAGAGCCCAGGCCTGAGCATACACTGGATCTAACCACGCTGGCCTGGAGGGCACCTAGAAAGGGCACCTAGAAAGGGCACCTCCCCAACTCCTCCCTTGCCGGCTGAGGCAGGTGCCTACGTAGGCGCCCCAACCTGCGCGACCCCTCGCCTGCAGATAGGTCCCTCCGTACTCGCGCGCAGGGCCCGTCCCGCGTCACTGGGTCTCTCTACCTTGGCGGGTCCAGCCTTCCCGGCCCCGAGGCCCCTCCATAACTTTGCGAGCTGGGCGGCACCAGATGGCGAGCACCAGGGCAGGGATGACAGTGGATGGGCCCTGGCAGGGGGATGGGGGTCGTCCCAGGTGGGGGCTGCGCCCCCCTCCTCCCGCCCCGCGGCCCCCCGAG